AGGTGGGGTGCTGTCGCTGCGCTGCAAACGGTGACCTGTGCAGAGACTGTAGATGCTGCGGCCTCAAGCAGCCCTGTACAAACTGCAGGCCAATGATGGATAGGAAATGTCGCAATCCGCATCCACCTCGAGCTGATGATAGAGGTCTTGTGCCGATGGCGGCGCACTCCAATGGACCAAGCGACTGTACCACAGTGGTTCATGGTTCCTTGGGAGGTGCTGACTCCAGCTTGGCACAGCGGCGGGGTATTCCTGCTTGCCCAGTGCCGGTTCTACCTGGACATGAACCAGTGTCGGGCGATCTCATTCTCTCTTCTGCTGGCCGGCTGGATAGGAGCCTCGATGCACGGTCTTTACCGGTAGCTGACAATGGTGAAATGGACAATACTAGAAATGACAAACAAATTGAACCCTTTAAAACCGGAGCTGATACCAACTTACCTGATGGACAGGAAGCGGTTGATCCGCATTCCGCTGTCGACACTTTTGCTCCGGTATGCTCGCCGGGCGTGTATGACACCGGGTCCTTGCCTGGGGGACCTGTGCGTGGTAATTCGGTACCAGCCACAAGTGACTTACACTCTGCTTCCCGGGAGACCAGGGGGCACACGTCCGGGGATGCTGTTGAAGTGAATACCGCTATGTCGACCTTGCGTGTGCAGGGCTCAGCTGATGTCCGGACCGGCTTGGATCTGCCCCAGCCGGAACCCATAGCTAGCTCCGACCCGTCGTTCAGGCTTGGTGATTTGTCTGCAGCGGAGACAGCTGGAGCCATAGAGGCTGCATATAACAAATGTGTTCACTTTCGCCCGAATGCTTTCTCTGTGCCGTCTGGAAATATTGGAAGACGATTTATCACTACCTTGACATCGTTCTATTCCTGCTTCGGAGATGGGGGATCGTATGAAATGATCGCACTCAAGATTGCAGCCGTCTACCAGATGCTAATGCTGCAGAAGCCGGACTGTGACAATAATAAATATGGTAAAATACTTGAGCGCCGCATGGACCAGTGGTCGAAGGGAGATTTTGCAGAGCTGCAACGGGAAGCGGACACCATACAGACCTCTCTTCTATCGTCCAAGAACAAACATAAACGTGATTCAGTGGGTCCGTCGGTTGACCCTGCTAGGCGTTTTGCAGATTATGTCACCGCGGGCAAAGTGGGCAAGGCGCTCCGTGGCTTAACAAGCGGTGATGATGGAGGCGTGCATCAGTTGGACGACGAGATTGACGGACGCACTGTCCGGGATATCCTGAAAGACAAACATCCACCCGCAGAGCCGATGAGCGAGGACGCCGTTATTGGTGGTGATCCACCTGCTCCACCTCATCCGATCTATTTAAGCAGCCTTGGACGTCAGTCGATTAAGAGTGCAGCGCTCGGTACGCAGGGTGCTGCGGGGCCGAGTGGTGTTGACGCCGAGAACTGGAGGCATTTTTGCGCTAGTTTCTCTGACGCCTCCCAGGGCCTTTGCGATGCACTAGCATCGTGTGCAAGGCGTTTAGCCTCCACGTACGTGCACCCAGCATCTTTGTCGGCTTTCACTGCGTGCAGATTGATAGCGTTGGACAAGCAACCCGGTGTCCGGCCGATTGGAATAGGTGAGGTCGCTCGACGCATTATAAGCAAGGCCATCCTCTCCGTCGTAGGCCAAGCCGTTCAGGAGGCGGTTGGGTGTATACAGCTATGCGCTGGCCAGGATTGCGGTATAGAGGCGGGAATACATGCGATGCAGCAGGCCTTTGAGCTGGATGACACCGAAGGAATTCTGATGGCGGATGCAAGTAATGCGTTCAACAGACTAAATCGACAGACTTGCTTAAGAAATGTTCGGCACTTGTGTCCATCACTTGCTACCGTTCTTATTAATACCTACCGTGATCCAGCTCATCTCTACGTGGACGGTGAAAGTATCCTGTCGCAAGAAGGGACAACACAGGGTGATCCCCTTGCAATGTACATGTACGCGTTGGGAATAATGCCCTTGATACGTTTGGCGGATGAGGCGGGTGCGGTGCAGTCATGGTTCGCGGACGATTCATCCGCTGCTGCTCGTCTTCGCAGACTCCGTCTATGGTGGGACATAATGGACAAGAGAGGACCGGCATATGGATATTACGTAAACCCAAAGAAATCGGTCCTTGTCGTCAAGGAAAGGTGTTACCAGGAGGCGACTGAATTGTTTCGAGACACTGGTGTAATGATAACGGACGAGGGATCACGATATCTTGGCGCAGCAATCGGAAGGGACAGCTTTCTTCAAAGCTATATCAAAACAAAGGTGGACGAATGGATGGGGGAACTGAAGAAGCTAGCAGTATTTGCACAAACCCAGCCGCAGGCTGCGTATTCTGCGTATGTGACGGGCCTCAGGGGTAGATGGGCGTTCCTCTGTCGTACCATGAAGGTACCCGAACCCATGTTCCAACCGCTGGAGGACATTGTGAAGTCTGAACTGATTCCCGCCTTAACTTGCCGTGCACCCCCAGGCGACACCCTCCGACGGCTTATGGCTTTGCCGTGTCGTCTGGGTGGGCTCGGTTTGATTAACCCTGTGTCCCTATGCCAACAATACGACTCGTCGGTTCGGATGACCAACCCTTTGTCTCGGAGAATCTTGTCAGGGGATGGCTCCATCGGTGACTCGGTAGTGTTAATCAGATCGGCCAAGAGAGACGCCAAGGCATCTTCTCGACGTCATCAGAAACTGGAATTCGACGCGATATCGGGCAGTGCGTCGGAGTCGCTACGACATGTCATAGACGTCGCGAAGGAGAAAGGGTCGTCGAGCTGGCTGACGTGCCGTCCACTTAAGAAATATCATTTTAATTTAACAAAGGGAGAGTTTTGGGACGGACTCTGCCTCCGTTACGGATGGACACCGGCCAGGGTACCGTCACACTGCTCTTGCGGCCAAGAGGCAACTGTCGCGCATTCCCTGTCGTGCCCCTATGGAGGGTTTCCCTCCATTAGACACAATGGTATTCGGGACGTCACGGCCCGGCTGCTGGACGAGGTGTGCACCAGTGTGTCCATCGAGCCCTTGCTGCAACCGCTGACGGGGGAGCGTCTTCGCTACCGGACCGCAAATATGGAAGACCGTGCCCGGTTGGATGTCGCTGCCAATGGTTTGTGGGGCAGTCGTTTTGAGCGTACACTTATTGATATACGGGTTTTTAATCCTCACTCACGCTCAAATCGATCTGCACCACATACTATTGTGTATCAGCGACATGAAAAAGAAAAGAGAAGGCACTATGAGGAGCGGGTGAGGCAGGTTGAGCAAGCCTCCTTTGTTCCGGCGGTCATGTCAGCCAGTGGCGGAATGGGTCCAGCATCAACAGCACTGTACAAACGAATTGCTCATCTGTTGGCGGAGAAGAGGGGTGAGCATTACTCTCATGTTATGGCATTTGTTAGATGCAGGATTTCCTTCAGCCTTCTGAAATCCTGTATCATGTGCATTCGCGGTTGTAGGCGTTTAAATTTTGGTTTGAAATTTGCACCCTCCTGCGGAGCCCACGCTGCTTTGGCAGTGGCGGAGGCTCGCTTGCCGACGTAACCGTCGGAGATCATCATGAACAATGGACTGACTAATTATTCACTTGTCCTGTCTTTATAAATAACATGTTATTGCATATGTTCTTGGTTTAGTTTTTGGCCTTTTTCGTACTTTGGAGTTGATAACATTTTCCTCACAGTTAAAAAAAAAATGGCATGGCTGCATGGCCAGCGCCCTGGCCCTGGGCATGGGGTGCGGGCCGCTAGACTTGCGACCGGATTCCCGACTCCACAGCAGTCACAAAGCTCAGTGACTGGCTACGTCAACGTGGCCTCATTCTCAACGAGACAAAGAGTCATCTCCTAGCAGTGTATGCCGGACGCAAACAGCCAACACCACCGATCAAAGTCACCTGCGACAGAACACCCCTCCCAGAAGCCTCCTCAGTGAAGTATCTCGGAGTGACCGTGGACAGCACTTTGGCATTCAAGGAGCACATTGACAAAGTGGCAGCCAAGATGGCTCAGAAAATCGGGGCACTCTGGCGCGCACGCCGCTGCCTCAGTGAAGCTGCAAGGGCACGGTACGTGACCTCCGTAGTACTGCCAGACGCCCTATACGCCTCGCCCTCTTTCAGTAGCTCACTGTCGAGTGCTGAGACCAGGAGGCTGCAGGTTCTGCTGAATCGAGCAGTCCGCACTGTCTACGGTGTGCCCACGCGACACTCAGCTGAACCTTTGCTGACCCGGCTGGGAGTTTTCCAGGTGTCAGAGCACTTCCACCAGAACACCTTAGCTCTTGTGTGGAAGAGCCTACACGGTGAGACATCGCAGTCCGTCACAGAACTAATGACTCCACAAATGACCAGAAACCCGCCTTCAGCAGCAGGACGGACTCAGTCTTCCAGTTGCAAGAACAAACGCTGGCAAGTCGAGGTACGCCTTCAACGCTACAGGTAAATGGAACTGTAGTAGAATACTACGGACCTGGCTCGCTCACACAACGTCGTCTGGAGAGTCTAACTCAAAAACTAATCTTTCATGGATATGTTATGCATTATATCATGTCATGGACTACGGAGCTTAGGCTAGGATCAGTACGGTGCTTGCACATAACAGACAGCAGGCTGACCAGGAATAGAAAGCTACATTACACAATGTATCGGCAAGAACATCAGCAGACCTAATCAACCATAATCAACTATATTTCTAAGGGGTCGTCACAAGGAGGGAAATCTGGCGACCATCTGGTGGAATAGCGATACCTACACCTACATAGAACACCTACATAGAACACCAAACAATGCACATCTATGGTTCCAGCACAAGCACGGCAGGGCATGTACCTGTCAGCAGTACGTAGTACAGTCATAGTCATACATAGATGTACCATGCAACTGAGTTACTCGCTAGTCAATGCAGGACATGCAAGGATGGCACCTTGTCCAGTACAGTACAATCACACCCCTCTCCTAGGTGACATCTCCACTCGACTCTAGCCATTGTATCTAGCTGGACGCGCCAAGGTTCCACGGTCACGTAGGTCATAAGCCGGTGCAGGGCGATCGTCGTCGTCGTCGTCCGCTGGCTCCGGCTGGTCAAGCCACATCTCACCATCACCGTCGTCACGCCCATCGTCGGCGCTCGTGTGCGCCTGCTCCATCGCTCCTGGACGCGGAGCACCATCCTGCTTGGCACTCTGTGGGTGTCGTACGTCAGGCTTGAGAAGGTTGATGTTCACGACTTTCTCCCCGCCATCATCTCTGGTGATGACTACTGTCGACGGCGCAATGATCTTCTTCACTTTCCAGCCGCACTGGTATGGCGGAGTCAACTTGCGTCGCCGGCCAGGCTGTTTCAGCATCACACGTTGCCCCTCTGTGTAGGGTGCCTCGAACTTGGTGATTGGCTTCTCCGGAGTCGTAGCAGCAAGCTCCACCTCCACGTGGTCGCGGACCCTTGCTGCTGTCTCGCCAACTCGGTCAACCCACTCGCTCAGTAGGGCTTCTGGTGCCTCAGCCTCGATGATCAGCTGGCGCGGCTGCCATGAACACATGGCCAGCATCGGCGGTATGGCTGTCGTGGTGTGTGGCCTCGAGCGGTAGTAGTAGAGCAGCAGATCCAGCTCAGTTTTCCAATCTGCTGCTTCTGTGAGGACCTTCCGCATCAGCGTGATGATGGTCCTGTTTGCCCTCTCGACACCTCCCTGCGACTGCGGGTGACGTACGGCCCCTGTCTTCACACGCACGCCGAACCGTGCGAAGAGAGCTCGGACAACGGCGTTCTTGAACTCGGAGCCATTGTCCATACGGACTTCGTCTGGCGGGCCCCAACGGCAGCAGAGGCTGGTCAGCGCTTCTGCAACACTGGTCGCATCGTGCCGCCTGAGAGGGATTGCCTCGACCCACTTCGTAAACACATCCACGCACACCAACACGCAGTGGTACTGACCGGATTTCTCCTCTCCCAGGTGAAGTGTGTCGATCTGAACGACACTCCACGGCCGCCCAGGCAAGTCTGGCTGTGTCGGCGGCGCTGCGGGTCCTGCGTGGCTGCTAGCGGCTGCACACTGTCGGCACTGGTCACAATACTCCCGGCACCTAGCCGCCATGCTGGGGAAGAAGCAACGTACGCGGAGCATGTCGTACATCACACTCCAGCTGGCATGCCCGGACATCACGTGGGCCGACTCGAGAACGCTGTGCTCAAGGCACTCCGGAACGATCGGCACAGTGACAACGCCGAGTGCAGGCAGCTTGAGCGTGCGGCTCAGCTGGCCGTCCTTGATGACGAGCTGTTCACGAATCTTCCGGTAGGTGGCGTGCTGAATCTCGCTGTCGCTCTCGATAGCACTGACCAGCGTCTGAATCAACGGGCACTTCCGCTGGGCATCACAGACGTCGTCACAGCCAATGACGGTCGCCGGCTGCTTCATTGCCATGGACGCGGCAACTTCCGGAGATTCGTCGCTCTCGGGAACGCGAGCTATTTGCAGCCACTTCTTTGGGACACGGGTCAGTCTGTCAGCGACATTCTCGTTCGTCGGTACCCAGCCAACTGTTACCTTCAGGCCAGCCGTTGCGACTAGGTCTTCAATGATGTCCAGACGGCGCACAACGAGAAGCTTGTGGAGGCCAGTGACCCTGACTCGTCTGACGTTCCCGAGGACCTGCGACACCCAGCCTGCAACCGCCTTCGAGTCAGTCACTAACGTCACCTTCTCCACCTTGTACTCCGCGGCGAGTGTTAGCGCCCTTAAGACGGCGTCCAGCTCGGCAATGTTAATGTGTTTGTGGTCACGTGGCTCGCGCAGCCACGAGCAGTCTTCGATCGTAGTACCATCGTGATGCAGGGAGGCTCCAATGGCGACGTCCGACGCGTCGCAGAACACGGTCCAGCCGTCGCTATCCAGCGATGGAACACGCCACGCACCTCTTGCAGGGTCTGACTCCCGGACCATGTCGGCCAGCTCTGCGCAGCACCTGGCGACCGCTTCTGGCACGGCGTCATCCCAGCCATCAGCTGAGCAGGCCTGCCGCTTCAACCACGCACATGCCGGGCGGAGCCACGAGCACACTGGGTAGTGGCTAGTCAGGCGTCCCGTCCACTTGAAGACCTCACGCTTTGTCAGCGGCTGTTCGAAGTCAAGGTTGACACCTCCTCTACGAGCCCAGTTGACCGTGCCGTCACTTTCCTTTGACAGTTGGAGACCGAGAACTCTGGCCGCGGTGAGCGGTTCTGCGGGCTTGGTCGGCAGACCGTAGCGGTGAAGAGCGGACGTCACAGCTTGCTCTTTCGCTCCCGGAACGAGCACATCGTCGACGTAGCTATCAACATCCTGCCACTCTCGGGTCACCCAGCGGACGATGATGTCCATCACCTTGGGCGCGACGGACAGGCCGAAGCCCATCCTCGTCATTACGTACAGCTTTTCTCGCCAAACGACAACCTGGTAGCGGGCGAGCGACGGGTCTACATGAACCTGGAGATAGGCCTTCCTGATGTCGATTAGCTTGCACTCTTGATCGCCGGCCATGCGCCACTTCCGCAGTTTATCGGCGCAAACGGGCGCCTCGGTCCCCGGATTGGATTTGATGACACCGTTCAGTGCTCGGTAATCTAGACACGGCCGGACTGGGGTAGAGGCTTTGTGTTCTTGGACCTTGGCTAGCAGAGGCAGGATAGCTGCCGGCTCCCCGTGTACGGATGGGTCGTGCTCCACCAGCCAGCCGTTCTCCACCCAAGCATCGACTTCGGTACAGAAGCTGGCTTCCTGCTCCGGCGACAGCCGCTTCCGAGAATACTGTCCGATGCCGGAACCGATCTGTTTGGTTGGCGGTTCATCATCAGCCCACATCCATCGCACGATCCAGCGCTGGCTTGCGCTGTCCCACCGGACCTCGCTGTCGTCCGTTCTCAGCACCACATCCTCTCCGTCCTTGCTCACAGTCACGTGCCGAGAAGGGTGAGCGGCCGGCACTGTCGCCGCCACGATGGCAGGACGGTCAGTTTCTGGGGCGCCGAACTGGACACTCGACAGGGAACCATCGTCACCATACCCGAGGTGAACTCCTCCGACAGCCGCAATCACGTCAGCGCCAACGAGGACGTCTGCATTCACAGCGTCCAACTTCCGGACAACGAAGGCTTTCACTTGCGTCCGCGGAAGATGAACCGGGCAGCCCGCCTCTACTCGCTCTACCAGCAGCTCTACGGCTCCAAGCAGCTTGACTGCGCTGCCGTTCAGGGCGTTCATCTGGACTTCAGTGTCGGGTTCATACTCGATGCCATGGTCAGTAAGGAAAGCACCAGAGAGCGTGTGGCGCACGTGTCTACTGCTGCCCTTGCTCTCTTCCATGCACTCGTGCTTTGGTCCCGCGGCTTGACATCGACGTACACCCTGGGCAGAGTCCCCTGTCCTGCCTTCGTCACTGTGCGGAGGCACTTGTCAGTGCTAGCTCCGCGCTCACCAGCAGCTGCAGCAGCAATGCCGCCCTTCGAAGCCGCTTCCCATCGCTCACGTGCAGGGCAGTTTCGCTTGACGTGGCCAGGCTTATCGCAAAAGAAGCACGTGAGCCCGCGAGGCTGAGAACGAAAACGCCGATCGCGGCTCCTTGAAGGGCAGTTTCGGCGGAGGTGCCCAACTTTTCCGCACTCGAAACAAGCCGAGCTGGCAACTGGCTGGCTCTTTCCACTACTGCTACTGCTCGCCGCCGCTGCCACTTCCTCCGAGGCTCTAGCTAGCAATCGCGAGTCGCTCTGCGCTGACCTCAGAGCTCGGATCGATGCCAAACACCCGCTCACGGAATGTTCCTTCGAGGCCATGGACAAGCGTAATTCCTTCGCGAAGGCGCTTGGCAATCCGGACACCATCTGTTCGATCAACAATGGGTCCTTATCATCGTCGGCGGCGTGCCCCGCCAGGCTCGCGAGCCTCTGTAGATCGGCCACGTACGCATCGGTCGACTCGTCTTCTCGTAGAGTCCGAGTCGTGAATGCACGGTACGCCTGTGCCTTCGTCAGGCTGAAGGACACTTTCATCTTCTCGTTCACCTTCTCCTCGTCCTTCTGGTCGTCGGCCGGCATCCGCGTGAATACCAGGAACGCGTCTCCATCCAAGAACAGTGGAAAGTTCTTCATTCGTTTCTCCGCAGAATCCCATCCTTGGATCTTGGCTAGGACGCTGAACTTCCCCCAGAAGTGTTCCCAGTCGTCCCCTTTGCCACGATACGCACGAACGAAGTTGTCGACCTTCAGCGACGCCATCGTAGATCGCTGTTCCTGCTGCTCCACCGCTAGAGCTTGAGCGTTTCCTGCGTCCTCCGCCGGTACGACGCTGTGAACCCTTTGCGAGAGATCCCGGGTTTCGGCACCACAAAAGCTGTAGTAGAATACTACGGACCTGGCTCGCTCACACAACGTCGTCTGGAGAGTCGAACTCAAAAACTAATCTTTCATGGATATGTTATGCATTATATCATGTCATGGACTACGGAGCTTAGGCTAGGATCAGTACGGTGCTTGCACATAACAGACAGCAGGCTGACCAGGAATAGAAAGCTACATTACACAATGTATCGGCAAGAACATCAGCAGACCTAATCAACCATGGCATAATCAACTATATTTCTAAGGGGTCGTCACAAGGAGGGAAATCTGGCGACCATCTGGTGGAATAGCGATACCTACACCCAGGGAGTCGTAAAAGCCCGGGAGAGGACACGGGATGCGCGCACGCGGACGATGTTTGCCTCGGCCAGAAAGTGAAGCACGCTAGGCCGGCGCGGCCGGATCTGCTCAATCCACGGCGCTGTGCTCGTTTTCAGGGCAGGGAGTCCTAAAATACCAATATTTTACGACTCGTTGTTGACACCATTATCCGAAACTGGTGGCGAAGGAAGCATAAACATGATTTTGTCAGACTCAGTACACATGGTACAGGGAGTGGGGAGTTGACAGTGTGTGTGTGTGTGTGTGTGGGGGGGGGGGGGGGGGGCGTGTGTATGTGCACATGTGCTTGTACTTTTCTGTGTGTTTGCACAGTGTTTGTGTGTGTGTGTGTGTGTGTGTGCGCGCGCGCGCGTGCGTGCGTGCGCATTTTTGTGCACAATTCCGTTATGAAAAACAAATGATAGGTTTACCTTTTGTACACTCGCCAAGACTTCGGTTAGATTCACTGAGAACCTTTCTGGCCAACCTGGAGGCTGAGCCTTCCGTTTCCTAAACGGCTAAAGTCACCGCACCGCGTACTCAGTATACGAGTAGAAAAGTGTTGTAGATAGATAGGGAACACACATTGATTGTTTTTAAAAGAATCCAGGCAATATCATAAATCATGGAACGAGTGCGTAATAATGCTGTATGTTGCGTTTTGACGATGCTGAAGGAAGGGAGCTGTTGCGATTCACTCACAACACACACACTCGACTGCAATTTCAGTGCAATTTCTGACACAAGTTCATAAATCCACGAGTACGAGGAAGCTCAGCGGATCTCCACAAGAACTTTCGCCCATCACCTGCAATGGAATATGGGCTGTATGATATGACCAGCGGCTAACATGGGAAGTGGCGTCATTTTCCACAAATCTCGTTTCATTCACAACCATTTGACTGCAATTCAGTGCAATTTCTGCCACAAATTCAACTCCACGAGTACGAGGAAGCTCAGCGGATCTCAACACGAACGTTCGCCCATCACCTGCAATGGAATATGGGCTGTATGATACGACCAGCGGCTAACACGGGAAGTGGCGTCTCTTTCCACAAATCTCGTTTCATTCACAGCCATTTGACTGCAATTCAGTGCAATTTCTGCCACAAATTCAACTCCACGAGTACGAGGAAGCTCAGCGGATCTCAACACGAACGTTCTCCCATCACCTGCAATGGAATATGGGCTGTATGATACGACCAGCGGCTAACACGGGAAGTGGCGTCATTTTCCACAAATCTCGTTTCATTCACAACCATTTGACTGCAATTCAGTGCAATTTCTGCCACAAATTCAACTCCACGAGTACGAGGAAACTCAGCGGATCTCAACACGAACGTTCGCCCATCACCTGCAATGGAATATGGGCTGTATGATACGACCAGCGGCTAACACGGGAAGTGGCGTCATTTTCCACAAATCTAGTTTCATTCACAACCATTTGACTGCAATTCAGTGCAATTTCTGCCACAAATTCAACTCCACGAGTACGAGGAAACTCAGCGGATCTCAACACGAACGTTCGCCCATCACCTGCAATGGAATATGGGCTGTATGATACGACCAGCGGCTAACACGGGAAGTGGCGTCATTTTCCACAAATCTCATTTCGTTCACCCCAACTCAAATAAAAGTGAAGTACAATTAGGGATTTATCTTGCATTTCCATCGCCTCAGAATAAATTAACTTCGATAAACTGAGAGAGAATGAGTGAGGCAGCTGGAAGAATTGAGGATGAAAATAGAGATTAGAAGACTCGACGGAGAAATCGTCTCCGTGCTCTAAGATAAATCGGAGAATGTCCCAATTAGTATTTCAAGAAGACATCACAATTTTCGAAAATAATAATTTCCTTGCCTCGCTACACCGTTCCCTGGCGCAGCGTTCCCCGGCAGCGCGAGGCAAAGATGTTTTCTGGGAATGTGTGCCGTGTCCTCTCCCGGGCTTTCACGACTCCCTGCCTACACCTACATAGAACACCAAACATGTTAACAATGCACATCTAGACTATGGTTCCAGCACAAGCACGGCAGGGCATGTACCTGTCAGCAGTACGTAGTACAGTCATAGTCATACATAGATGTACCATGCAACTGAGTTACTCGCTAGGTAATGCAGGACATGCAAGGATGGCACCTTGTCCAGTACAGTACAATTACCCATATAAAAACCGCTCTGTGAGCGGTTCTGAAAAACCTCTACTGGTGCAGCCCCGTCGTAAAAGTAAGAAATTAGAACTGGCGCATTGTCCTCCCAAATGTGAACTGATCCACCTAAATCGCGATTGACGGGACCCGAACGCACCAGTAGCACGAGGTTCCTACCTGTGGATGCAGCTGGGGACGCTGGTCCATAGCCAAAGCCAAAGCGGCAAAGGTGGGCTTCGGGCCGGGGTAGATCTAAGTGTTGTATGGTAACTTGATCAGCGCCGACGCCGGCTGTGATCCTGTGCCCTCCCGACCTCGTGCTACTGGTGCGTTCGGGTCCCGTCAATCGCGATTTAGGTGGATCAGTTCACATTTGGGAGGACAATGCGCCAGTTCTAATTTCTTACTTTTACGACGGGGCTGCACCAGTAGAGGTTTTTCAGAACCGCTCACAGAGCGGTTTTTATATGGGTAATTTCAGTTCTTTTTCTGTTCCCTCCCCCACCCTAGCCCAGCTCCGAAGATAAACATGGTGAGCACACGCGCGATGCACTGTATGTAGCCATGCAACTGCAGTAGCACACTGATACATTCCAGCCCTCCCCACCTCGCTACCCCGCACACAGACACCTTGTGACAAACACGCACATGCACATGGCACACACACACATGGGCACGCACACACATACATACACACACACACACGACCCAAACAGGAAATTCTTGATGAACATTGTATAATGCCATGCAAAGCAGTGGCCACCATACTTCAGGAAGTCAGTTGTGAAACAAAAATAATTCAACTACAATGTGTAGGTAAGCTAGCAGCCAAAGCACAACATTGCAAACCGTGATGATATTTGCCTAAGGATTGCAGTTTGCAGACCACACCATGGAAGCAGTGAATACAGAATTATTGTAATGTCATACAAAGACGAGCAAAGAAGTGGCCACCATACACCAGAAACTTGCAGAAAGTCACATATCCAACAGATAGAGAAGTGAACAGCATCTGGTACAGCCCACACAAAACCAAGCTGACCTGATAATCGTCCGAAGATCGTAAGTGGCAGATCCTTTTCAACGATAGCATGCAGGTGTACGTTACACGCATGGACAAAATCTGACCGTGTCATCGGCATACATTGTCATCACATGCATACCCCACAGGTTACACACATGCACAGTAGAAGCACAATAAAAGCAATGGAAAAATATGAAGGGGTTGCTGAAGCATCTTCACACTTCAATTTCAGACTTCGATGTGGTCGTCACGGGGTGATATACCTGCAAGATACAAGTGATACAGAAAGAAAGCATAAGGTCGTGAGGTAGGCTATGAGACACCACAAATGGGTCACCTACATGTATGTTCAGGGCTGGTGTACACACACA